CTGCCTCAGCCTCCCGAGTAGCTGGGACTACAGGCATGTGCCACCATGCCCGGCTAATTTTTTTCTATATATTTTTAGTTGTCCAGCTAATTTCTTTCTACTTTTTAGTAGAGACGGGGTCTCACTCTTGCTCAGGCTGGTCTTGAACTCCTGAGCTCAAATGATCCTCCCGCCTCGGCCTCCCAGAGTGCTAGGATTACAGGCATGAGCCACTGCGCCCGGCCCATAAGGATTCTTAAAATGTGGATCTTATAAAAGCAATTCTTTAAAAAAGATTGACAATGGCTAGCCCATTCTATGGACTTAGGGTATAGTCTCTGACTGCAATTGCTCATTGCTACTTTAATTAACAGTGCTTATCAAACTGCTTTCCAGGGTTTTCACCTTTCCATATGTTCTGCAAATAGTCTGTAAAAATTATTATAGGGAAATGATTTTTTTTGTTTGGTGCTGAATTTCTATTTTCTCTTTGTGTCCTATTTAGCTGTGTCAGTATTCTGCCTTTGGCATGTTGATGGGAGGGTTTTAAGGTTAAGATCTTTTGACAGGATAATTTCCATATTGATTCCAAACTGAAAATAGTTACCACATTGCATAGGTACACCCTTAGTCTGTGTAGGTTGAGTGGGACTGACCCTACTCGTTATCTCCAAGAAAGGGGACTGTGACACAAGCCTGGCCAATTGGGGATTTTCTTAGGGCTTTTGCTGGAACCATTGGGAAAGTGGGGTTCTCTTTGTTGGGATTTCTAGCTTTAGAGATACTGGTGATCATCTCTGCCACCACATGAAGAAAGCTTGTTGGGAAATGAAGGCAGTACAGAGGAAATCAGTGGAAAGAGACAAAGAAAAATAGGTTTCTAATTACATTTTTAACTATTTCATCCATTTCTGAAGCTGAATGACTCAGTTATGTGATCCAATAAACTTTCCTCTCCCCTTTTAAAATCAGGCTTCCAGTACTTTACAAATGATTGAATCTAAATTACTGATCTATGGCATATTCTGTGTAAAGCTTTCAAGCACTTTTCCAGGTGTGATAACCAAGGTTTTACTATTTAAGCATTTTAATACTTACATATGAATATTTCATGATCACTGTTGTGTAGACCACATATATACAGTTATAGCACATAAATGAAATGAAATGAAATGATTTAACATGTAAGACTTAAAAATATGTGCTATTATATGTGGCCATAATTGAATTTTGTGATAATTTGAAAATTATAATTGCTAGCTTTAGAATAAGGCATCTAGTCAAAAGAGCAAATGAGTAATTAAATGATTGCAGAAGGAAAGAAAACATTACTTATATCCAGCAAGGGCATTCATTCTTTGTTTCATAAATACATTCATATTAGAAACCACCAAGTTTATTACTGGTCCACAGTCCCTTTTTCTGAAACCCCAGAAGACAGATTTTTTTTTTTTTTTTTTTTTGAGACAGAGTCTTACTTTGTTGCCCGGGCTAGAGTGCTGTGGCATCATCATAGCTCACTGCAAACTCAAACTATTGGGCTCAAGCAATCCTTCTGCCTCAGCCTCCCGAGTAGCTGGGACTACAGGCATGCGCCACCATGCCCGGCTAATTTTTTCTATA